ACCATGCCGACCCGGCTTTCGGCTGGGACTGGCTGAGAAAGTTCTAAAGTCAACGAACAGGGGGACTGAGGGGGGCGTTGTAAAAAATCCATTGTCTTCTTTCTTCTGGCCATTGCATTCAACTCTGACTTCCACTGGGGGACAATTTCCTAGCTGTGGAGCACACCATTCCCACATCTCCGCGCTGCCCCGGAGCCCCGGGGGAGATGCGTCCCAGCCAAGTTGGTGGCTGTGCGCCAGCTCTGGGCCCCGGAGGAAGGCCCCCGCCACGAGGCACAGGGCGCGGCCTGGAAGCGGCCAGAAACCACCTGCCCCGAGCCCAAAGGGAACAACGTAGGGCCCAACACGGGCGTGGGCCCCTGTGACTCAGGTCCCCGGCCCCTCCCTGGGCTTCACCCCGTGCTGGCCCTGCGAAGGGATCGCCCCCACGTCCCCGAGTTAAAACGACGACAGATCAACCAACACGCCGGCCCGTGACCCGCCGCCGCCACCACCACCACCCACGCGCGACGTGATGGCCGCGCTGTCCCCTGCCCTTCTCCCCGCTCGGCCGCTCCGACCCCGGTGCGTGGACGCCCCGCGGTGGCCGGAGCTCTGCGCGTGAGCCTGGACCGCGGAGCCGCGGCTCGGGGCCGGGGGCCGGGGCGGGGGGCGGGGGGGACCCGAGAGGCAGCCGCCGATCGCCCTCCACCGGCGCCGCTCGGCCGCGGGGAGCAGGATCCCCCCGCCCCCCGAGGGACCCCGAAGCCACGGAGGAAACGGGCGAGGCGGCGAATCCAAAGCCGAGAGCGCGCGGAGCCGGGTGGGGGTCCCGCTCGCCCGGCTCCGCCGCTCGGCCGCGCCGCCGCCAGCCTCCTCCCGCCGCCCCGCCGCCCCGCCGCCCCGCACAAATCAAAGCCCCTTGTGAGGGGAACTGGGAAATAGTTGCCTTGTCATGTAACACATTGCCCTGATTTATTATAAAATTTTAACGAAATCATGCATATTTTAACAGCCTTTAATCACTGCATGAAAATTTAATTCATGGACTGTAGCGCGTTTAAATAAATGAAGTGTTAATTCATTAGGATTAATTAATTTGTTAAAGGATTGTGTGCAAGGTTAAGGTGGAAAGAAACACTCTTTTTGTTGGTTTCGCGTCTTAATCGCCAGGTTTCTGGAGTGATCGTCAAAAGAAAAGCAGCCGCGGACCTGGCCGGGCGAGACGAGCTGAGGGCGCCCGCGGGAGCGCAGGAACTCCGGCTCCAGGGTTTGGTGCTCCCCCACGTGACAGATCTGACCCGGGAATTGAGGGGAGAGGGACGGGGAATGGGGCGCGGGGGGGGGGGGGGACTGAGTTCGCTGGGAGGGACCTCTGAACCCAGGCTGGGGAGCCAGCCCTAACTCTGTCCCCCCCCCCCCCACCGCCCGTGACCCCATGGGGTGAGGCGAGGTTATCCCTTCTAGTCAAGGCTTGACTTAATGGACAGTTGATGGACCGCACCCCCTTCTTCCCCCATCCTCCACCCCACCCCCACCCCGCCACCTCTTAAGCTTTCCAGCGCCCAGGGAGTCACTGTCTCGCCAGCGAGCCGCCGGATCAGGAGGCTGGGGGCAGGACCCAGAGCCGCCCGGGACTTGACCAGGGGTGGAGAAAAGCTCTACTTGCAATCCCGGGGTGAAGCTGTGCGGGAAATCTTTCTCCGTCGGGAGCTCTGACTATAGTACACGTTTCCTTTTTCCGCTGTCGGGACAATTGCTAAATGGGCGCCTCCTCTAGCATATCCAGACAGGCAGAAAAAGTCCCGTCCTCCTAGCGGGGTGAAGGGGGGTGTGGGGGGAAGGGGAATCTGATGCCAATGTTTCTCTGTGCCCAGGCTCTCTTCAAAATGGAAAGTTTGCCACGCGCCAATGTTGTAAGAAACAAATTGAACTAGAATTATATCTTCCTTTATAGTGTGTTAGTAAATTCCTAAGTCAAACATTTGCCCCATGGGGAGTGTGTGTGGGGGTGTTCGGAAAAGATCTTTATACCCCTAAATGATAAACACATACAACCCACCCTTTTCACAATTGTTTCCATCCATCTTTAGTAGAGGTTCGGTTACCTATTTAGAGACAGCAGAGAGGAATCTACTACCTTGTGGGGCTGAAACTCAAGGTATTCTAGACCACCTCAGTCACTTAAAACTGAAGACCACCTTAGCCTGGGCTCAAGATGGATTCTTAACTTTGCATCTAATAGATGTTTCCTTGCTATGAGTGGGGTTCCGAGAATTAGGCAATAAATGTTCACTATGCACTCTGAGATCATTGCTTAAAAGGTTTTTTCTCTGCCAAGTATTATTAAAGGGATCAAGTTACATCATGATAGGAAAGACTGTATTGTAGAACTCCCACAAACAGGAACGGCAAACCTATGAGGAGTTAGGAAATTTCTAATCCAACAGGCCACACACCATTAACTGTTAATTTCAATTTGATATTTTACAGTATTATCCACAGGTACAGAAATGAAGAGGAAACCCCATTCATGAATACTCTGAATAATTAAACATTCATGTGTATGGTTAACTGAATCATACCATTTAAGGCAAAGTTCTCTTGCTCAGTGGTACCTTTGCTTCAAACAGGAAAACAAACAGGTGACTGGAAAGCATATTTGAAATTAAGGGACTGCAAATCGTAGAGTACAATTTCCAGATCTTTCTTCTTTAAAAAAATTCCAGTTTTTCCTCTCAGCTGATGCAGTAAAACAAAAATGACTTTTAACTTTTTGATGGGATGAAACATTTTTAAAATGAAGAGGAAATAATTTTGTTTGTCCTGACAACAAAACCCTAGCATCTTGTTACATTCACATAGCATGGCATTCTAGAAAGATTAACAATGAACTAAGTGCCTATATAAAAATATGAACTAAATGTCTGCTTAACTTAGCACCAGTGTGTCTTTTTTAAAAATCAGGTTTAGTGAAATGAACCAATTAGGAGGGGAAGGTTATATTCACAAAAATGTCAGTTAGTATGAATCTTTAAACTTAAAAAAGTGGAACACATCTATAAGTTCTATCTCTGAGCTTTTGTTTAGATCCAGAAACCTAGGCAGGAATTGAATGCTAATTTAACAAGAAGTATCCTAATAATCCCAAATACTTTAATAGGAATCCTTGGGAACTTTCGTATCCATTTTTCCTTTGAGGCACAGCTTAGAACTCAGGGGTTCACAAATTCGAGTTTCAGACCTATGTCGGAGTTAGTTTTTAGCCATTCCTGTTGGGTGGTCACCTTCTGTGGCCTGCTTTCTCATAATTGGGGTTGGATCACAGTGTCTCAGGGCTTGAAAGAGGTTAGATGAAAGGCAAAATATCTGGCTATCTGGCCTCAATAGTGTTTTATTTTGTAGTGCAGATATACAATAGGTGTATCTGAAAAATCTAAGGAGAGGTAATGGTAAAGATGGAAAAACATGATAAAAATGGAAATGAATGTTCTCCTTAAGGGATGGTATGAATTTAATGTATACAATACTGATTTAGAGAAGATGGAAGGTTGCTTTTCAAAGCAGCTGGAAAATATTGATATTTTTCTGAAATAATTTTGATAATATTCTAATGAGACACAAATCTTTCATCCAAGCTAGTAATTGGCAAATTGGTCTACATCAATTTTCAAGGCACAATGCTAATATGTATGCAGCTTAAAAAATGGACACATTGTTGGCTATAGAATTCCTGTTTACTTCTTGCCTTAATTCCTTTGGGCTGTTGTTAACAAAATATCTTGGATCAGCTAATTTATATAAAGAAGAAATGTACTTTTCACAGTTCTGGAGATGGGGGGAGTTGGGAAGCAAGAGACCAGTAGACTTAGTGTGTGGTAAGGAGCTATCCTCAGCTACAAAAAACTCAACCTCTTAACACCATTATCTTAGGGGCTAGATTTCAGCATATGGATTTGAGGAAAACACATACATTAACTAAATTTACTGAATTTAATTACTGAACTTAATTACTAAGTTAACTAAATTTAGTGGTAGAGTTTAGATTTCTGTATTTGAGTTATTATAAACATTTTATATTTAACCTCCTAAGAGTTCTAAATTATCCATTAGCTTTAACATCAGAAAGATAAAATAATGCATATTTGTAATGTAAAGGCCTACACATGGATTTCTAACATGTTTAGAATATGTGGGTGTGGGTATGTGAGTACTGGGGCTAAAACTTGGGACCTGAGTGCTTCCCTGAGCTTTTTCACTCAAGACTGGTGTTCTACTACTTGAGCTACAGCTCCACTATGGGCTTATTAGGAGTTGAAGAAAAAAGTGTCTCGTGGATTTTCCTGCCCAAGCTGACTTTGAAACATGTTCTTCAGACCTCAGCCTCCTGAGCAACTAGGAGTACTCACATGAACTACCAGCTCTTGGTGCACATAATACACATTTTTAGAGCCTAAATTAAAAATTGTACTTGGCATTAATCTCTTCTTAGACCTTTAATACATTTCTTTAAAAGCATACTACATATATACAATGTACATAATAAAACAAATACTATGCTTCATATTAGCTTTTTCTGGCTACTATCCTGAAGGAGCATCATTTTCCAAAGTCATAAAGTGATTTATTATATTTCTATGAGTTAATTATAGCAAGGGTCATTCAATTTCTATAAGGGCCAGATGGTAAATATTTTGGCATATGCCCTTTGTATAACTAACTCTGCCTCTTATAGTGTGAATCAGCCATGTGTAGAATGCACACAAATGAGTGTAGTGGCACTCCAATAGGACTTTATTGAGAAATATTAAAAACTGAATGAATTTTCTGTTAATTTTAAGAATTAAGAAAAAAACTGTCTTTTTTTTTTTTTTCCTAATTGACCTTTCAAACAGGTACAGACCAGATTTAAGTCCATGGGCTACAGTTAGTCAACTGCTATATTATAAAATCAATTGAAAATAAGTTTCTCTGGTCTTTATGGGTTAATTCAATATCTTAGATAATATCAAGACATAAAGTGCTTATGACATCCTTTATTCAATTCACATAGAAAAGCATGCAGTATTAATGTAAAACAATACAGTATTAATGTAAAATGTTCAGTGCACATTAGATAAACAAGTCATTAGCATACAAACCCATTTGTAAAGGCCTACATAGGCATCCTTAACATGTTTAGAATAATACACTTTTTTAGGACCTAAATTAAAAAAAAATTGTGCTTAGTTAGCTCTTATCTCTTCTTACCCTCTCAATACTTCCCATTAAAAAAAGTACTACATAAAATATATCCTATTAGCCAATTAAAACTGCTTTTTCTTAAGGATGGAAAATACAGCAAGCAAAAACGCTACCATGCGTACAGTTTCCACAAAGAACAATAACATGCAAACTCTTCCTGGGATTTAGATGGATCAAGAATGTAGCAAAGAGAAGCTCTCCAGCAATATACATCTGGAAAGTGAAGAGAGGATGTTTACATTCTTCCAAACCTAACTGCTCCATGCACTCACTCCATTTCTGATTTTACACACACAGAAAAAGATAAGCAAATGTAAGTCTGGCACAAGTGAATATTTTCATAGAAAAACAGGTTCTTGCTGGGGCCTGGTGGCTCACGCCTGTAATCCTAGCTACCCAGGAGGCTGGATCTGAGGATCCAGTTTGAAGCCACTCAGGCAAGGAAGTCCGTAAGACAATCTCCAATTAACTTCCAAGAAGCCAGGATGGTACTGTGGCCCAAATGGTAGATTCATTAGCCTTGAATAAAAAAGTTCAGGGATAGTGCCCAGGCCCCGAGTTCAAGCCTCAGGACCAATACAAAGAAACAAACAAATCCCAAAAACATATTCTTTGATACTAGCAGAATATTTTCACAAAAACTGGACAAAACATAATGATAAAAAAGGAAAAGTAAGTAAAGAGTGCTATTTTTCCATCATGGCCTTATATAAAAGTCAGGTCATGACTAAACATTAAAAGGGGGGGGAGGGGTAAAGAAATTTCCACCCAAGGAAAAGCTTTGAAGAAACCCATGTCTTATAAGTGTTGAAAGATTTATTAAAGAAACCATGTTCTGAAGACAACTGAGCCTTGTTAACAGGCTATTGTATCTAATAGTTAAATACAACCAACTTGTATCCATATAATACCCATTAAAAAACAAAAACAAACTCCAACCTCCTTCACTGTATTTCCTCTATTCAAAAAGATTCCCCTAACCCCCCCCCCCCAAAAAAAAAAAAAAAAAAAAACAACAAAAAACAGCACAGTGTTTCAACATTAATTAAGTACTTTGGGTACAGGTTAACCTACTATTCTGACTTAAAGATCATCAATTCAAGATTGTGTAGAACATTTATAAAGGAAAAAATTACTTTAAAAACATTTCCATTCCCTTCAGGACAAAAACAAATGGCATCTCCCAATAAGTCAACTTTTGGTTGCTTTCGATGGACTGGCATTGGAAAGGCTGCTCTGTATTTTTCTTTTTGTTGACTGATTCACATTTTTATTCCTCTTTTCAGGCACAAAGGAAGTAGACCAAGGAGACTGAAGGTGGTTATGAAGGCTGTGCATGTCTGAGGACATCTTAAACAAAGATGACCCAAACCTTTGATCTTCAAACAGACCACGCGTACTGCTTAACAAAATATCCTGGGAGAACTCCGTCTGAAACAAACAGCGTGGAGGTTTGATTTCATTTGTTCCTGGATTCGAAGTAGGGTGGAGTGAAAAATCTTCATTCATTTCTTGGTCAGGTGGGGAGAGGAGAAAAAATGAAGTGGGTTTCCACTCATTTCCATTTTCTAACTGATCACTAGCGGTTAGAGGATCCAGTTTAGTTCCTTCTTCCAACTTATCTGGCTCCTCCAGAAAGTCACTGCCTTGAGAGGACTTGGACAAGCTATCCAAATCTACCGACTTGAAACCGTTATTATTACAGGGGCTCTTGCTGTTGTCCGACTCTGACATCATGGAATCCAACTCGGAGATTTTGTCAAGGTAAGCAGCATCCATTGATGCTTCACTGGATGTCCTTGTCCGGTTCATTTCAAAAGAACGAATACAGTTCAACCTTTTGGATAAGCAGGAGCCAGATTTCTCACTCAGTTTTGAAGATATTTCTCCGACAGAACTTGCTATTGTGTTCCCCTCGGAACTTTCAAAATCCAAGCTCTGGGCATAGCTTGTAGAGCAACAATCCCAAAATCTTGTCTTTGTAGAAGTAAAGCATTCTGCTTTCTTTTCATTTTCATTTCTACTGGTACCATCTGCAGAATCTTTGTTAGAAACATTTGGAGAATCACAAAAATCATCAAACACTAGTTTTCTAAGATGGTTTGAGTGCTTTTTGGTATCTCCCCCAGATTTGATCACGGTACCGTCTCTATTTTCTGGAGTATTTAACTGAAGGCAACTGAGAGACAGGGGAGTGCAGGGAGCTGGAAGATCATAAAGCTCTTCATCTTTATAGGGGACACAGTCACTTGGCTTATTACCCCACTCTCCTTCTAAGTAAGTGTCCATACTTGTATCTGTCACATCTAACATTATTTCTACCTGTTTTTGGTAGAGGTCTTTGTTCTTAGGGCAGTTTGGTTCTATTTTGCTAGTGTTTTCTTGTCTGGTAGCACTGGAGTCCAACAGCCGGCTGCTGGAAGGCTGTGCCAGGTGAGAACTAGCAGTGGCCGTGCCAGGCTGCTTTCTGGCAGTATCGCCTGGAGTCTTCGATGCCACATCCTCCTCACTGCTTTTGGTCCCCTTGCCATCTGTAGAAAGCACTCTTGGGCAGATGGAATCCATAGCCTCCTTCTCTTCACTTGAATTTTTCAGTTGTGCAACTTGAGATTCTAGTTCCTCTATATATTTATCACTTCGCTCCAAGGCTTTCTTGAGCCGATTGGTTTCACGTTCATACTGTTCCACTTTGGACTGAAGAGCAGCAACGGTAAATCTTCCAAACCTAGAAAGGATAGAAGGATGGTTAATCTTATAGCTCCAGCCATTTTCTTCTCAAAAGTTTAACAGTGCAAAATTCCTCAGCATATTCTAATTTCACATTATATTAGAGTGCAGACCTTTGGATGAAAAGGACAAAAATATTGCCAAATGTAATATTGTTTTCCTACTTGTGTTATAATAAGCAAATTACAATAATGGCAAAGTTCTATTAGGACATTTTGGTGGCAGAATCAAACTAGTGGTAACAGAAGAGGCATACACTCACTGATGATTTTGCCTTCCAAGAGCTACCTATCAATTCAGCTCATATATTCATGAAGTTATCCCCTAAAACAATGGCAAAGATTTATGATAACATTTGAACAGTGGTCCACATCTTGAAATATTTACATTCAATCATTTTCCTTTCGTACAGCAGTGTTTTACAATACATTTCTTCCACAATGTCACCTTGTCAAACATAAAACACCAATTTGAAATTCAGAAATCTTAGAAGTCCCAGGAGGGGTGGTTTTAAATACTTATTTGGACCCTTTCAATTACAGCCAACCTTGATATGAAGCTTTCTCTGGCATTTCTGAGCACTGGGCTTTAATTCATTTCAGTGCTACTTATTTTTGGCATTTTACAACTGTATAGGATATCAATCTCATTTTTTTCCAACTTTGAAATACAAAGTCAGGGCTAGTGGTTCCAACAGATGACACATAAAAACATCTTTACATTTGGAAAGGAACATTTTGGAGACTAACCAGAAGGAACACACACAAAAATCACCCTTTGTACATGGTATTCTTTCTTTTTCCCTCTCCCCATTGTTTTGTCAGGAATGGGTACTGGATTCAGCACAGAAAGCAATAATTGAGCACCTACAGTATATGTTAGGTGGTGTATCTGGGGCTGGGGATACAAACATGAATAAAATTATCCAGATCTTAGGATCATATGGAAGTTAAATTCTAACTGATCACTAAGGAAAATCTGAATTTGGGGGCTTTTTTCCTTTTTCTTCTAATTACAAAAGTTAGAGTTAGGGCTGGGAAGGTTGCTCAGTGGTAGAGCGCTTGCCTTGCATGCATGAGGCCCTGGGTTTGATTCCTCAGCACCACATAAGCAAAAAGAAAAAAGCCGGAAGTGGTGCTGTGGCTCAAGTGGTAGAACGTTAGCCTTGAGCTGAAGAGCTGAGGGGCAGCACCCAGGCCCAGAGTTTAGGCCCCATGACCGGACCCCCCTGCCCCCCCCAAAAAAGTTAAGAGTTAAAGAAAAAGTGTTAGTATTAAAAATAAAAAAGAAGGAAAAGCTACAGAACAGCACAAGAAGCTCAACCATAATGCCCCTTTTAGAGCCAAGGAATCACAATGTGTTCTACACAGTCATTCAGTGTCTATCACCTCCTAAAACCCTGGCCCACTCTCCTCCCCAGCTCAGCATCATGATCTCTGCTCTCCTGTCACTGAGGAGAAAACAAAATTATCAGAGGCAAAGGTAAATATAGAATCATAAAATCTCAGGATTAGAAAGGGCTTTAAAAGACATGATTGCTGAATATTGATCTGCTCGCTGCAATGAACTAGACTCCCAGTAAGAGCACATTCCCTTCAACTTCTAAAATACTATACGGGTACAAGGACAAAAGGTCACTATGGTAACTACAAAGGTACCATTTTGGGGGGGGAGTGTCAGTTGTGGGGCTTGAACTCAGGGCCTGGGCGCTATCTCTGAGCCTCTCTGTGCTCAAGACTAGTGCTCTACTACTTGAGCCACAGCACCACTTTTGGTTTTTGAGTGGATAATTAGAGATTAGATTCTCACAGGGACTTTTTTGCTCTGGCTGGCTTCAAACTGTGATCCTCAGTGCTTAGCCTCCTGAGAAGCTAGGATTACAGGTGTGAGCCACTGGGACCTGGCTCCACCATCCTTTTATGATGGTCCTGGAGACTGAACATGTAAGGCCTTCGCTTGCTAGGCTAGTGCCACACCACTAAAGCCAAGCCTGTTCATTTTATTTACTATCATGAATATCTGGCTGAATAAATGACAGTTTTTCTTTGTTAAAAGTGGAAAGGAAAAAAAATTTAAAAAGTAAATTGTTATAAATTGTTTTGAGCTGGGTGCCAGTGGCTCATGCCTCTAATCCTAGCTACTTAGGAGACTGAGATCTGTGGACTTAGGTTCAAAGCCAGCCTGGGCAATAAAGTTTGTGAGACTCTTATCTCCAATTAACCATCAGAAAACTGGAAGTGGAATTGTGGCTCAAAGTGGTAGAGTGCTAGACTTGACAGTGCCCAGGCCCTGAGCTCAAGCCCTAAAATTGACCAAAAAAAAAAAAAAAAAGTTTTGGTTTGTTAATGTAGTAATGGACAAGTTTGTAGTTCTTTGAAAACACTTTTAAGCAGTAAAAGCCTCTGAATATGCTCTGTAAAAAAAAAAGTCTAGGGCTGGGAAGGTGGCTCAGTGGTAGAGCGCTTGCCTTGCATGCATGAGGCCCTGGGTTCGATTCCTCAGCACCACATAAGCAGAAAAAAAAAAAAAAAAGCTGGAAGTGGCACTGTGGCTCAAGTGGTAGAGCACTAGCCTTGAGCTGAAGAGCTGAGGGACAGCGCCCAGGCCTAGAGTTCAGGCCCCACGACCAGACCAAAAAAAAAAAGTCTGTTTCTGACCGTAATTACACTGGCTTAATCAAATAACATTTTTAAATGAAAAAAATGTATAAGCATGTTTATTTAATTCAAATAGCAAAAAGCCTTTCATTTGCTTACCAATAAAATGTTTTTTCCAAGAACAACTTTTATAACAAAGGTATCTTCATATTAAAAAAAAATTTTCCAAGCTGGGCGCTGGTGGCTCACGCCTGTAATCCTAGCTACTCAGGAGGCTGAGATCTGAGGATCGTGGTTCAAAGTCAGCCCGGGCAGGAGAGACCGTGAGACTCCTATCTCCAATAAACCACCAGAAAACTGGAAGTGGCACTGTAGCTCAAGTGGTAGAGCGCTCGCCTTGAGCTGAAGAGCTGAGGGACAGCGCCCAGGCCCAGAGTTCAAGCCCCACGACCGACAAAAAAAAAAAAAATTTTTTTCCAATGACTTAAAAATCAAATAATGCTACTAGATAGTGGATCAGATGTTACCAAAGGATACCACTAAGGACTCCAGAGGCCTAGCTAAGAAAAGAGTAATGACCCACAGGAATGCTTCCCAAAGACTTAGCCTCCTCTAGTCAGTTCTACCTTGGAAATATTGTCACTTAAGGGCACAATTTGTCCCTATATTACCTTTTTGTTTTGTGTTGTATTTTCGGTGATTGGCCCCAGAGCCTCCCACATGCCAGGCAAGTGTCTACCCTGAGCCACATCCCCAGCTCTAATTGTGTTTTTTGAAGAATTAACAAAGGATTCTGAACTGAAGTCAAGGATCCCCCTAGCCATAGTTCCTCTGTTACTTCAGAGAGAAAGATGAAGTGCCACAAAACCTCACAACAAAGGCCAGCAAAAAAAAAAAAAAAAGGCAAGCAGAAATCACTGATGGAGTTTTTCCATTTTCTAAAAGGTCACTGCCCCTAGGAAACCAAAGCTCCATTTCAATACTTCCCAAGTTTATAATACTATGAATGTTCAGATCTTTTTTACCATGCTAATAAGGAATCCATGTGATGGGAAAACCAACAGAAATGTATAGTAAAAGCCATGGGAACTGACCAATTAATTAATCAGTCTAAGCAATTTATCTTTCTTTGGTTCATCTGTTACAGAAGAAGCTCCAGGAGATCAGGAAGTTCGGGTGTCATACATTCACTGACAAATCCTTAGAATAACTTCAGGTGTAAAAAAACTCCCTTACTAAACAGTTCCTGAATAAGTATCATTCTCTTACCTAAAAGTACATCAGTCTTTTAAAAATATTTTTTATCTTTAAATTTATGAATACAGTGAATAGTTATGAATACAGTTTATGAAGTGTGTCTTGACCACTGTCACCCCTTTCAACATTCTAATTTAACCCTCCCCCCTTTTTCTTAATTTTTAGATTATGTATGTCATTTAACAAAGCAGTTTAAATACACAAAGCATCTTGATCTATGTTCACCCCTTTGACCCAACGCTTCCTTCATTTACTCATCCTTTAACCCACCCATTTTCACCCCTCTTTGACCCACCTCTTCCTTTATTTCTCTTAATTTTATAGTATACACAATGAATTCTTGACTGCATTCTCCTTCTTCCCAGCCACCCTTCATTTATCTACCCCTCTCCTCTTAGCCCTACCTCACCTCTTGCAAGTACTAAATTCTAGAACCTTAATTTTGTTGGGCTTGACTTAGTCTTTCTAAAGAATTATACTATTTGAGCTCTCCATGGAGTCTATTATACTTCAGTTCATTCATTTGTAAATGCTTACATACCACCTGATATGTTTACTTATAGGTTTACATTTTAGGTGCCACAACTAGGGAAATCAAACAAGACGACAGTAAAGACACCAGCACAGCCATGTTCACTACAGCACTATTTACCGTAGCCATGGTCTGGAATCAGCCCAGATTCTGCTCAATGGACAAATAGATTAAGAAAATGTGGTGTATACACACAATGGAATTTTACTAACCCATTAGAAAGAATGGTATTGTATCATTTGTAAGGAAATGGAAAGAAACAAAGGTGTATCAGTCTTATATTAAGACAGTGCCATCCCACCACAAGATAAGTAAGCTAAAGGTATCTTAATCCTCATTTACATATAAGTATTATGACAATCACTATCTTACTAAACTAAATGCATTATATACCTCTGCCATTATTTTTGCCTGAAAGAAAAAGCAAGATATATAATGAAGTACAACTTTTATGCAGGCTTACCATTCTATACAGATCTATCAAAGAAAAAATCCATTTTCACTTTAGTCAAGAGAGACTAAAAATAGATAAGAATTTTGACAATGACATTAAGGGATTTAATTACCCAAGATAACTATATTAAATTTAGCAAAGGCAATTTAAAATACCGA